AGCATCCTCTGAAGTACAGAGAAAAGCCTCAAAACAACCTGAAAAGGTATCTACTAAGGTTAGAAGATAGTGTGTCCTTTTGCAGGGAGAGTAATATAGGGGCTGAAGAAGGCTTAGTAGGGGTTCATAGCTTATATGAACTGAATTATGGAAATCTAAAAGGATTTGCTCAGATTGTGTGGTAGGGAGGACATAGTGACCGGAGAGAGCATACCAGTTGTCCTTTCTCTGTGCTCCCAACTATTGGACGTGTTGTATTTCTTGGGGTGTGTACTGGGATAAGGGCGTAGGGGCCATGAGAAGAACCTGAGCAGGAGAGGAAGAGTGGGGGCCTGGTGATTGAGCTGCCTGTTCTGTGGTTAGATCTGCCAGTTTGTTTCCCTGGGCTATGGGGTCATTGGAGGTTTGGTGTCCTCTGCAGTGTATAACCCCAACCTCCTTTGGGAGTTGTGCAGCCTCAATAGCTTGTGTTAGATATGCTGTGGCATAACCGGGCATGGAGGTGGCACTCCCATCTATGAACTGTGTAATGGGATGCGGGGAGATGTGTGGAAAGGGATTGAGAAAGAGGTCTAAACACATGCAATTGTGTTCTAAGGGTCATGAGTGTTTGCGGATGAGAGTGGCTGGATTTTAAGGAATGGCAAGGCTTAAAGGAGTTTTCAATGAAAGTAAGGTGAATAAGTTGTAGGTGGGAAAGGGAGAGAATTGACTTGGACTTATGGCTGAGAAGGTCTTGACTGTTTGTTGTTTAAAAGTTAGTTTAGAGCTTTCTTATGCTAAAAGGGCAGCTGCCACCAAGGCCCATAAACGGGCCCATTCTCGAGATGTGGTGTCTAGTTATTTAGAGAGGTTTGTAACCGGGGAGAAAATATCTCCTGCCTTTTGTCCCAAAACCCCAACTGCCAATCCTTGGGTTTCCATGAGAAATAGGATAAAAGGATGAGATAGGTTTGGGAGAGATTGAGCTGGGGCTGCAAGGAGAGCAGCTTTTAATCACTGGAAGGGAGAATGAATGAGCTTTGTGGGATCTAAGGGAATGGCAGGATCCCCTTTGGCTGCCCCATAAAGTGGCTTTGCTAGCACACCAAATTAGGAATCCACAGGCGAAGATATCCTGACAGTCCCAAGAAAGAAAGGATTTCACCCTTTGCGGTAGGAGTAGGGAGTTCAGAAATTAGATTCTTGAACTGAAGGAGAAGAAATTTGGGCCTTGCTGGGGACACTGGGTATCCCCTGGAGGCCAGGAAATTAAGGAGAGTGACAGTGTGGCCTGTGAATCCTCATAGGAGGGGCTACAAAGGAGGAGGTCATCCACATATTGTATTAAAGTGCTAGAGGTTGGGGGGGGGAGTTCAGATAAGTCTTGAGCTAAGGCTTGGCTGGAATAGTGGGGGCTATCCCGAAACCCCTGAGGTAGTACTGTCCAAGTAAGTTGTTGGGAACGGCGCGTGTCAGGATTAGTCCTGTACTAAATGGTATGAGCCATTAGGCTTTATAACTGGAAGGATGGGTGTATTGAAAAGCGAGTGGGTAGGCCGTGAGAGATGAGAAGAAAGGAGTTTGTGTATGATGGGTTTTAAGCCTATGAGGTGTTTGTTAGTGATGGGGTACTGTGGGACATCGGGGAACAAAGAGGTGTTCTGCAATTTAACAAGGATAGGGGAAAGGTGCATAGCAGTGGAGGGAGAAGAAGCTTCCCATACTGTGGGATTAACCTTGTCTGAGGGGGAGGGGATGGTGGAATTCCCAGGGGCCAGGTCTGGGTGTGGCCTGTAACAGGAGTATTGTAGCTGGAGTTACAGTGTTTAGGGTAAGAATAGCTTTGAATTTGAAAAGGATGTCCCATCCCAGTAAGGGGGCTGGTCATTGAGGCATTATTAAAAATTTGTGTGTGAATTGGGTGTGTTGTAGGGTGTAGGAAAGGGGTTGAGTGATCCATGGGCAGTATTCTGATCCTGTGACCCCTACTATTGTGACCCTTACTATTGTTGGTCCTGCATATTCAGGAAGGGTAGAGTAAATGGCCCCTGTATTGATGACAAAAGAGATTGGCTTACCTGCTATGAGGCAAGTTACTGTGCGCTCCTGCTGGGTGATCTCCGTGGGGGCCTCAGGCCCTGGGCATCATTAGTCCTCCTCCTGGACAAAGCCTAGAAGCTCCAGTAGAAATAGCCATGAAGCCAAAGGCTGTAGGTTGGGGACTGGGCTACTCTCTCTCTGGTGAGTGACACAGTTAATCCCCCAATGACCCGGCTGTTTGCAATGAGGACAGGTTATGACGGGCCCATGCCAAGTGGCCTGGTTGACCACATATGAAGCAGTTCCCGGGTGGCTTGCCTCTTAAGGCAGCCAGCTTTGGAGTATGTGAGTCTCGGATGGCATTAGCCAGGAGCTGGCATTTGGCCTGATTTCTTTTATAGTTTTTTGAACATCAGGGGCTGATTTGGTAATGAAATGAGAGTGTAAGAGGGCCATGCCTGCAGGGGAGTTTGGATCTATACGTGTGTATTCACGTAAAGCCTCAGGTTAGGAACTCGCTGGGATTTTCAGTGGATCTCTGTGTGATTTATCTAAGCTTGTCATAATTGACTGACTTGTGAGTAGTCTCTTGGAGGCCGTGAAGTAGGTGTGTGATCATGTTATCCCAGAGATCTTGATCCCCGTGGCCAGCCTGGTAGTTCCAATTTGGGTCTGTGCAAGGAACAGCAATGGCTCCCACAGGCCGCCTATTATTTTGAGCATGTACCTGAGTCACCATCCAGACCTGCTCCCTGTACATGGACTCATACAATTCCTTCCATCCCAGCCACTTCATGGAAGGGTTATAAAAAGCTGGAGCTGAGGTAGGGTTGTTACCTGATGAAGGGGGAGAAGGAGAGGAGTTGAGTGGCTGAGGACAAAAATCTCGAGGCCAGGTAGAGGGAAGAGAGAGAAATGTGAAGGGCTGATGGATCAGAAGAGTGATCTGAGTCCAGAAGGGGAGGTCGAGCATGAGCTAGGAGAATTTGAGACATAGGACAGTTTTAACAGAGAGAAGAACGTGTTCAGAGATAGAAGAAGGCCTGAACAAGGAATCTCTATAGCTTTTGCCGTTTCAGTGAGTGTCTAAATCGAGTGCCATCTTGTGGCCACTGGGATCCATTGTAATGAGGCGTTTGAGTTTTAATGTCTCCCTGGAGGCTGAGAAAATAGTCACCGACTGGCTAGAGGAGCGTCCTCCAATATCTGGGGGGGCATGAGAAGAGTTTCCTCGGCCATGTTCCTGGGCTTCGTAGAGACTGGAGTTGTACAGAATAGTTGGGGGAACTTGTGGAAGTAGGCAGGACAGACCCACTGACTCACCCTGAATTGAGGCCAGTGTTGGATGCATTGGTCTGAAACAGCAAAAGGAGTCCTGGAGGCATCTGGTTTTGGCAGGTCTGGGAAGGGTGGCTGGGAGCCAATCAACCCAAGTGGGGGGATCATCCGAAGGTCCAGCCAAGACCCTTCCCAGGTTTTGGCACCATAATAAAATAAAGTGAGCCAAGATGCCAGGTACCGTTCAAGCTTCATTAAAGAAAGAAATTTGCCGGGCTGTACTCAAAATGGAGGACAGCCCGGGGCTGCCCTGAAAATGGGGGACAGCCCCCACAATCGGTTTGCTAGAGTTTATATTAGTTTTGGGGCGTGAAATGTACGGTGGGGGGGGGGGCATTAGGTTGATGTAACCGGGTGGAGAACTGCGCCAATGCAGAAGCCGGAAACTTGTTTCTAAGTCAGGAGGCTTCTAGTAAAGGGAAGAGGGGAGGGGCTTGGTGCTGGAGTGGAAGAGGAGGCCGGGGGCAGCTAGTTCCTGCTGGTGCTTATTGTGTGCACAATGGCGCCGGCCACGTCCAAAATCTATCACTTTCTTTAGTCAATAATGAGAGTTTTGAGTGGGCATTTAGCCCCTTAAGAGTGTGATAAATTCCCCCTCCTGCTGAATGTGAAGACACCGTTTTTCTATGCAGATCAACTGCTATACTTCCTTGGTTTCTAAGAAGTTAGAGCTCAATTTAAAGTTCACTTGTAGAAAATCACTCGTTCTGGGTAAACGGACAGTTATTTAATGCTTATGCAGTTTCTTATCTATCATTGCGTTAAAATCATTTTAAAAGTCGCCCTGAATTATACGAATTTTAAGAGTGAGTGGGGCTTTTTAAAATTATTCTTTTTCTTTTCCTTGACGGGTAAGGGGATCGCAACCCTCCGCTCGGTGTCGTCCGCACTGCGCTCAGCCGGTGAGTGCACCTGCCATCCCTATACAGGATCCGAACCCGCGGCCTCGGCGCTCCCAGCGGGGCACTCTCCCGAGTGAGCCACGGGCCGGCCCCTGAATTATTTTTTTTAAGTAGCAGGGCATAAGTCATAATATGTTAATAAGGTAATAAAAGGCAAACGCTAGTGTTTGGGGCAAAAGTTGGCCAATGCTTTCGGATTCATTTCCGAAACTTTACAGAGGACGCCTAGCATTATATTGCTGTTGACAGACATACACGCCCCAGTTTAAATCCCTACATTTCGGTTTCCGCCCAAGGTGTGCAGCCCGCATCCACAGAGAGTGATCCGCGAGCCGGAGCGGCCCCCTCCTCAGCTCTAAACTGCTTCTCTTTTCGGTGGCTCGAAAAAGCCAAGAGAAGTTGTGTGAACGCCGACGGAGTGCTCTTTCCTCGATCCTTTGACCCCCAGAGTCGTTTTCGTTGAGTTCCCGGCCAAACCACAACTCCCAAGATGCTTCAGGTTCTAGAGCGGTCGGAGGTGCAGCTTCCGGCTTGGGCCAGCGCGGCTGCGCACAGAATGTGGTTTTATTGGCTCAAACCGCCTCGTGCGATGCGCGTCATGGCGACGTGCGGTCGCGGGGGCGGGGAGACGCAGCGGCGGCGCGAGCCCGATTCCAGACGCAATATCGCGGCGGCGGCAGCGGCGGTGCTGGCGGCAGCTCCGGAGTGTTGGGCCCCCTCCCTCCTCCGTTTCCCCCCTCTTTCCCCTCCCCTCAGCGTGGTTCCCGAGGAGTCCGAGACGTGCGGCGAGGCGGCGACAAGCTGCGGTGAGGGTCTTTGGGGTGTGAGCGCCGTCTCCCGGGAGCTGAGGGAGAGCCCGCGGTCGGGAGGAGGGGAGGGCTGAGGGGGCGATGTGCCCGTGCGGGCCGGAGTGCGCGCGCTCGTCACAGCCCTCAACTTAGCCGTCTAACTCTGATCTGCTGCCCGGCCCAGTGTGCGGCGCCCCGAGGGGCGGCCGTGAGGGGCCTGGATCCGCTGTCACCGGAGCTCGGCGCTCACCGCCCCCTTCGCCCCTCCTGGCGGAGGGTCACGACCCCCGGCCCTTTCAGCCCTCTTCACCTTTGGGTGCAGTTGCCCGTCCTAGCTGCCCACGGGAGCATCTGCCCGCCGTTTCTTCGTTTCCGTCTCTCATCACTTCAGGAGCTCCTCTGGCGGCGGGCTTCGGGTGGGTTCTGCTGAGCACTACTTCTGCAGTGACGGGTAGAAAGATTTCCCTCACCTTTTCTGAGGCGGCGCTTCAGGCACCCTATTCTGGGACAGTCCTTGGGGTCCTGTTCTTCCAAGCACAGTTTGGCTTTTCGTCTGTCACTGTTAGCTTCTTTTGAAATTGCTGATAACAGCGTAAGGAATCAGTTTTGGGGGAGTCTGTGAGACAGTTGAGTTGGATGGAAACTGATAGATACTTTTTTCCTCCTCCTGGCTTTTGACCTTGGTTGAATTCCTTCAACCCAGCACTTTATTTTTGGGGGGGGGGGGAGTTTATAAAGCTGTCAGTTCTGAAGTTTGAAGTGTCTTCTTACCAGAACCACCTTTATGTCTCTTCTCACCACTCTCTGACTCTTCTTACACTGTTTGAAGGTAATCCCTAGATGTTTTCAGTCTGTCTTACAAGTTTGTTGTGAGAGCACTGATTGTGATGATCTGTAACAAATGATTTATCAGTAGAGATTTCCACACTTGGTGGCAGCGGCTTGGTGATGAATTATGAAATTTTTTAAAAATTGAATTAATTTTAAGTGTGAAAGTCATTTCCTTTAGCTTCTATTTCTAATTGCCTACCAATCAATATATGTTCCCATCTAGACTTTGGGCTACTTAGTACAGATTTCGTCTTTTTACTAGGCGCTGAGGATGACAGTAGGATTTCCAAAGCCTAAAAAAAAGTTTGTATTTTTCTGTACCTAGGCTCATTGTATGAATTTATCACTGAATGGAGTTTTTCTATCAGTAGTGTTAATTTAACTGTGCTCTTTCTTTAGTATAAATCACATTTTGTTTTCCAAAATGAGAATAATTTTGTTTTATTCTTTATTTCAGAGGTTGGCAAACTTTACAGCCAAGTCCTACCAGCTGCCTGTTTTTGTAAATAAAGTTTTTACTGGAACATAGCCACATGTGGTTGTTTAGATATTGTCTGTGGTTGCTTTTGCTGTACAATGGCAGAGTTGAGTAGTTGTGACAGAGACCCGTATGGCCTGAAAAGCCTAAGGTATTTGCTATCTGGTCCTTAATAGAAAAAGCTTGATGACCTCTACTTTATTAAAAAAGATGCATATTCAATGTAGAAAATTAAAATTGGTCCGAAAAGTATAAAGGACAAAGTAAAAATTGTCCAGAATTACACCACTCAGGGTTTGTGTGTGTGTGCGTGTGTGTGTGTGAGAGAGAGAGAGAGAGAGAGAGAGAGAGATTATCCTTATAGAGTCCGTTGGTGATTATTTTTGTATAAATTTTGTTAAATGTTGGTTTGTCATCTGCTTTCTTAAAAAAAGTATGTCAGATTATTTTTATTTGGCTTTTGAATGCTTTTATATTTACTGCATTGAATATTTCATTAGAAAGAGGCTTGATGAACTAGGTTTTCCTGATTTGTCTTATCAGTCAAGATTAAAAAGAAAATTTAGGAATAATAGATGCTTGTTGATGATGATAATGGTTAACATTTATTGAGGACTGACTAGGTACTAGTTTTGCACTACTTTACATGTATTAAATCATTTAATCCCTGCTGCAGCTCTGTGACTACATACTATAACATCCCTATTTTACAGGTGAGGAAACAGGCATGGAGTGATTAAGTAACCACCGAAGTTTATCAGTGAGTAAGTGGTAGATCTGGGATTTGATTTTATGCAGTCTGGTTTCAGAACCCAAGCTCTTAACAATATGCTACATAGCCTCTCCTTATAGTATTGCTCAGTGTAGAAAGTTTAGACAGTCTAGAGGTATATAATATAAAAATTTCTCCTTTGCTCTTCCTGTTTCAGTCTTTGTAGATAACCACAGGTGACAGTTTGATATAGATCTTTCCAGCTCTTTGTCTGCATAAACAAATATTTATTTGCAAATCTATGTACATATGCAGAACTTTTTTTAAATGAAGACTTTATTTTTTGGAGCAATTTTGGATTTACAAAAATTTGAGCTGATAGTACAGAAAGTTCCCATATCCTCTCCCCTCCCCCATTTCCCGTTACTTACATCTTGCATTAATGTGGCACATTTGTTACAATTGATGAAGCAGTATCAATATGTTGTTATTAATTAGTCCATAGTTTATACTAGGGCTCATTCTTTGTGTTGCAGAGTTTTTTAAAAAGGGATCAAACTGATAGTTGTTCAGCAGTGTGCTTTTTTGGGTGATTTTCAAAATATAGTGCTTCTGGACTTTTTAATATAAACATTCTTGATTTACTAATTTTCAGATTAAGGACACAAATTTAACGTTCTCCTTGGACTGGAAAACTTACTTGGAAGTTACTTTTTCTTTTTTCTTTTTCTCTTTTTAAAAAGTGTGTCTCATAGTGCCAGCTGCTCTTCTCTGAAGGAATGCTTATTTTTTGACTGGACATTCTGGCTATACTGAAGTCCGTCTGTTTTTCTTCTCTTTATTTCTGGATCTGGAAAATTGATTCACTTTGGTTTTCTCCCTCATAAATTCTTTTGGCTTGTCTTTCCAGCCATTGCAGTTGCTAGTCTTGTCTCCTTGACAGATATTGGCTTTTTAATGAAGGCCATCGATGTTCCAAAAGGTAACTCACTCCTCATCACTGTTTCAATATATTTCCTCTTTTGGGCTTTCTCTGGGGGCAGCACTGAATTTTTTTCTTAATTGGGCTGTGCAGATTTTCTGAAATTCTTCTTGCATCTTTGGCACCTCCATGGGCATGCTGTTCAGCTTCTTGAGATTTCTTGCTGTTCTTCATTGTGTGGTGCTCATGAACCCCATTCACCATCAGCATCCTCCTGCTCACTGAGATGTGCTTCCCTGTCCATCTTTACTGTTTTCAGCATTCTCTTCCTCTTTCCCAACTTTCAAAGTTTATGTTCCTAGAATGTAATCTTTAGCATCTAATTCTCCATATTCATGCACTCTTGAATTTATTGAGGCCTCTGTATGTCTACACGAGAATTTCTTGTGCAACATCTGAGGAGTCAGAAGAACTGAATCAGAGTTCTAGCAGGTATCATCACATTCTTTGTGTGTTTTATATTGCGCCAGGTCTTAAGGAAGTTCTTCAGTCATGGCTAGAGTACATTGTGCTGTTACCTCTTTTATAGTATTGACTCCTGCTGTCAGGACTTCTCCAGAGTTTTTGTCCATAACAAAATAGTTGGCCACAATCATGAGCAATGACTGAGTGATTTCTGGGACTACCAGGTGATGAGATGATTGTGCAGTAAACAGGAAGATGTTACTTTTCTCTGGTGCAGCTGCAGAAACATGAATTCCCACCAGTCTGGAAATAAGGTTCACGAGCATCAACACTTCAAACCTCTCTTTAGAGCTCTCTAGCTGCTTTAGTAGTTTTTGTGCAAGACCTTGGGGATCGTGAATCAAGTAAATACCTGAAAAGTGAAACACCTTTGTTAGGCACTTTAATAAATTTTTCAACCATTTCTTGTGTTTGGATCCTCTCTTCCATGTGACATGCTGTAGTAGGTGTCTTGCTGTTGGCCCTTTATCCTCAGATTCTTAGTTGCTGTCCTATTTGTTTCTCTTCATCTTACCCTAGGAAGAATGTCAAAGCAGCAACCAATATCTTGGTGACCTCAGAGAAATGTGCAGTTGTGATAACATTGACAGTTTTGTCATCATTCCGTACATCCAGATGATGTTTCTTCTGTAGCGTTCAGTCATCACAGCCTATGATATCTTGGTAGCAGTTGTGTTGCTGTCTCTTAACTTGGTGTATGTGCAATTCTGCAATACTGTATTTACTTTATTCTTGTGTTTTGCACTTATATTCTTGGTATCAGTCACAATATGCGTATATAAAGTCTCAGAAACTTTTTAGGGCAACATGGAAGTTCAAAGAAGAGTTCTAGCAACTTGATGGATTGATGTGATTCTTATTTCTCAGCAAAATCAAAGCTTTGCAAAATGTTAGAAGATGTAGATTCAAGACAGTGTAATTGTAAGAAAACAGATCTTTTAGCTCTTTTTTTTTTTCCTTTTTGTCTCTTTTACTGACCGGTAACGGGATCGCAACCCTCGGTGTTACGCCCGCACCGCGCTCAGCCAGTGAGCGGGAACCAGTCTCCACATGGGATCCGAACCCTCAGCGGGAGCGCCGCCATGCGGCGCACTCTCCAGTGCACCACCGGGCCGGCCCAGATCTTTTAGCTCTTTTTTTTTTTCCTTTTTGTCTCTTTTACTGACCGGTAACGGGATCGCAACCCTCGGTGTCGTGCCTGCACCGGGGACTGGCAACGGGGTCGCAACCCTCGGTGTTACGCCCGCACCGCGCTCAGCCAGTGAGCGGGAACCAGTCTCCACATGGGATCCGAACCCTCAGCGGGAGCGCCGCCATGCGGCGCACTCTCCAGTGCACCACCGGGCCGGCCCAGATCTTTTAGCTCTTGAGGAAAGTTATTTAGATGTTCTAGGTAGGAGTGACCAATCTGCCATAAATATCATCAGCTCTGCCAATTCTTTGCTGGGTTTATTTGGTTGTAATTTGAAAATCTCCACATAAATTTGTAGCGAATATTGGAGAAACTCTTCAGTGTGGGCCATTGGGTCTGTTTTATTAGCTTCTGTAAC